TCATTTTTCCCCAAATCACTGTCCCTAAATCCGAATCTGATACCCACAGATAACTGATTCTCAAAATACTGGTGCCCGCAGGCCTGATGCCCAAACTTGCAAACTGATACGTGCAATCCTGTAGAGGCCAACTCTAAAACACATAGCAGATAAGTGAGAGCCAAAACACCCCTATGTTGGGGTAGGGTTTCCCGGTCCTATTTTGTCAGGAGCTAGGGTTTCACTATGCACACAGCGGTTTCAAACAACCTACGATCGGGTGAGCAACCTGTCCTAGCTTGGAATGGTCACTATGGATTTCGATATGCACTAGGTCGAATGGTCAAAAGGGGTGCCCTGGTAAAAACCGGGGTTTGTGTTCCCATACTGGCAGAGCCCGCAACCGGTCAGCCTTATGGTCATGCCTTGACAAGGCAAGCCTCCGGCAAACCGTTCAGGAATAGCAGATGGCCAACACGGTGTCCTAGGCGCACCAATGCACATGCAATGCAAAGAAACACATAAGTGTAGTCAAAACAAGATATCATGAGTTTGAGTCAAGTTCTCTAAATCCCCAGCAAAGTCGCTAGAAACTGTAGACGTCCCCGAACGCCCCGAGAGGATGAATCTTGTTCTGCTCATATTGGGCTCACTACAGTTCGAACTCTAATTGTCAGGGTTCTTAATCTGAACCAAAGAGTCCAAATCCGGCAAATCGTCTTAAAAAACAGATTTTTGTAAAGAAGTGCCAAACATGGACTGCTTTGCCAGATACAGAGTCGCCACCTAAATATTTTATTTTGGGAGAATTTAGGAAACACTGACTTGTTTGCCTAAGGCCACGTGTCCGTCATCACTAGAGTTGCCTCGGCTCGGGAACTTGGGTACGATTGGGGAAGGTCAGCTATGAGCACCCCCTCTCGTCCGATCCGAAGATCGGCCTCTACTAATCATTATATCTTGTTTTGAAAACATTATGCATTCTTATTCTGGTTATTAGCCTAGATTTACTATGTGATGCGCACAGCATACAAGTATAGACTGAATCGTCTGAGTTAGAACAAAACATTTTATGTTTGTTTTTTAAAGCAGTTTGCTACTCGTAAGTAGGCTAAAATGCAGGTTTTGCCACCCTCAATGGGGCTTTTAGAAAAGATGTTTTTTGCACTATCAAGTGGGCTTAAAACTCATGGTTTTAATGCATTATTCCCATTCAGGTAATTCAACCTCCATTCACAAGCATTCAAGCAGTTATATCACATAAGCAAATAGCCTCATGGTAATCATGCTGTCATGGCAACATTCACACGCATGCAAGGATGCTAAAGCGTAAAAGCTTACCGAGTACACCAAGCCAAAACAAAAGCTATGTTAGAAATCCATGCATATCCTAACTATACAGGAATGCCTAATGCAACACATGCAGGATGCGAATACAATAGGTCGACTATTCTAAAATGACATGCGAAATGCTACAACTAACACGTATTCAATTTGGAATTGGAACACGAATGCAGTTAGTATGATGCGCCGAGCCCGGTGCATGCAAGATAAATGTATGAATGCACGCATGCATAACATAAGGTATGCTAATTTAAATATGTCCTAATACTAACCATCGAAAGCTAGTAAATAAAAGGGAAGAAAGAAGTGGGGTTGGAAAGACATACACACACTCACACACACTTATTACACAATTGCCCCCGCTCGGAGGGTCCAAAAAATATTACACAACCAAATGAATACTGCTAAATTAATTATTACAGAACTTCTAATTAATTAACAAATTAAATATAGAAGGAAGATGGCCGCAGCCCTGCCTCAGAATGCGCAATGGTGCATGCTTGACTCGTTTCGCCCGGAAACCCGTACCATGCCACTGTTGCCTCTGTTTACACTGCCCTGCTCCTCTGAAAATTTGCACAAGTCCCAAGGATGCTTCTCTGAACACTGGGAGCATCGTGGGAACACCACCGGCCGAAGGAATGTCATCGACCATGGTTGAGCCACCGGCTAATTGTATTTGGTCGGTTGGCACTCAAAGTAGCCGGCTGGCTATTTCTCCTGCAAAATCCTGCAGTTGACAGCAACAGAGGGCAAGCAGTGTATGGCATGGAATTTTCAAGCAAATGTGAGCATGGCTACACCCCCCATCATGCAATGGACTCAAGGGAGCATGACCCTCGGCCCTCGGGCCATCAATTATGCATTTTGATGCATGATGGCCTAAGAGGCCAAGTTTTCCTTCAATGTAAAATGCATGCAACAAAAGAGATGAATGCCAAACCCTATCATATTGGGATCAAGGGCATTGGCGACCCAAGGGTTGAGACGTGTTTCGTCACTTTGAGTACGAACACACCTCACCTCTCATGCTTGTTGACACCCCAAACCAAGCAATGCAATGCATGTATACAAACATGCTCAAGTTATGCAACATAAGGCTAAGATGCAAAACATGCACAATGAATGCAATCTATCATGCAAGCATGCAATGTCCAAACATGCAATGCAACTAGCTAAACAACATGCAAACATGCAAATGTAATGCAATGTAAGCGTGCAACCAATACAATGTAACATACCAAACATGCAAAATATGCAGATGGACTTATGCTGAAATGAGAAGGCCTCAGCCCTCTCCAAAACAGTGGCCAAAGAGGGTGTAAATGGTGGACAAATGTTCATGCAAACATGCACATCAATAGCCTAAGACTAAGGCACAAAAAAAAGAGCATTCCACCACTATCATGACCACACATGGTACGAATTAAACAACCAAAAACAGAGTTTCAACATGCAAAATGAGCCCCCAAAACCCACTGATATGGCAGCCCCAAGACTTAAACATTAAAGCATTAACACAATGCTTATTTCAAGGCACAATAAAACAACTCTTCAAGGCATGAAAGAGATGATAAATGTAATCATACGAGCATAGGTTATGGACTGAAATAGCATGGGAAATGACTTCAAACCACTGAAACAACCCAACTCAAGCATGCTCATGACTCACACCCTCAAGGCTTACAAGCCAAAATACAAAGGGGCTATACCAAACATGGTAAATATGATCAAATAAGCTCCCAACAGACCTTAAGCATGGTAAGACATGGCTAAGAACTTCACAAAGTTAGGCCAAAACATAAGAGCATAGTAGGTTAAATGTATGATGCACTTCTAGGCATAACGGGGGAATACAAAGCAAGTATATTATGCATGCAAGGGACCTTTAATCCGACCAAAAACAGAGGCATAATATAACCCAATAACACCCAAAAATCTCTGGAATGAAGCCAAGAACAACTAATCATGCATGCTACCCTTATGAGCCAAAAACAAGGACAAAAGAGAGACAAAGGGAGAGGGGTGTCCCTCCCCTATGCAAGACCTCAAAACCTCTTCTTCACTACTGAAAATTCACTGGATTTCAGTGGTGAGAAGGCCAATACACAAAGATAACCAAGGCTCAACGAAGAAAGCACAAAAAGGGCCAAACAAGGCCTAAAAAGGGGAGGTCGACCCCCAATACCAAAACAACCTTAATGAAGTATCTTAAGCATGAAAATACAAGACTTTTTTTAGTTATACACGAAGCTCAAATCAGTATGCAAAGCAGGTCAAAAGCTAGTGCAAGATTAGGAAATCTAAAGCAAAAGTGTTACCCTTGAAGAACACCTCAAGAACAGCAAGTCCAGCCACCTTCTTCTAATCAAAACCAGCTCAAAACCTCAAGAATAAACCCTCAACACCTCCCAAAGTCGAAGTATGGTGTAATGGTGTGTGTTTTAGTGCAAAAGTAAGAACAAATCACCCTTTTAGGCCCTCAAACACGCACAAATGAAGAGAGAGAGGGAGATATAGAGAGAGAAGATGTATGTATCAGAATATATATGTTCTGGGTCTGATTTTGCAGAACCAAAAACAAGGAGAGGGTTTGTCTCCTTATATAGACCATCAAAAAAGCTAAGCTTCCAAGATAAGCTAATTAAAAGGATCAGGGCTTCTTCAAGAAGCCAAGGCTTCCTGAGGAAGCTGAGACAAGGTCCAAGCTTCTTGAGGAAGCTAAAACAAAGGTCCAAGCTTCCTCAAGAAGCTAGACCAAAAAGGTGCAAAAAGGGGGCAAAAACAGCCACAGATGTGCACGGGGGCAGGGTTTGTGCATTCCAGCTGGCACAGCTGGCATGCACCACGCCTGAAAAAGGCAAAAAGGTGGTACCGGCCAGAAAAGGAGGCCATCGGCCAAACAAATGGTCGGCCGACCACAGCAAGTGCCGACCGGCCAATGGTATATTTCACCGATGGCCGGTATCAAGAATACACGGCCGGTGGCCTCAAGCCAAGGCCGGTGGGGGTCAAGGGCAGCTAACAAGCTACTCTCTACCATCAAGTACAAAAACACACAAGTCCTTGGTGCAAAACCAAGCGCAGAACAAGCAAGTCGAGAGATCCTGAGGTAAGGCGCGTAGCCGAGGCCTCCAGGAACTCAATACAAATACAAACAGGGATGATCACCGAGCGTTCAAACGGTGACATCCAAGTCTTGAGAACGGTCAAAAATGGGGTGTCAACAGTTAGATGCACCAGCATTACTAAACCGATGTTAGCATCGTCTAAACGAAGGTTTAATTAGGAAACTTCTGCATGGGCAGAATTCACTTGTATAATGTTGCCCCATATTATTGATGCACTGAACTCTAACAATGCAAATATGCCATTCATTACTACAAACTGTGATGTCAACGTTTAAATTCTAGTGACTTCAGTTGCATAGAAGGTTTTATTCCTAATAGATGCTTACCATCCCTAAAACCTTTAAAAGGATAGGGTCAAGTATTCATTAACTGAACTTTTCTGTGCGTAATCTTTGGATAACCTTGCAAGGTCCATTCTGCAGCTCGAGTTATTTTGTGAAGTTGTTAGTATGGAAATCTTCTCTTGTTTCGATTTGGTGTGAGTGTGGTTTCTTTTGCCTTAATGCTCTTTCTTAATTCTGATGGCATAGTGCTACTTGTATTTAGTTGGTAGAAAGTTGTAGAGAAGTTACAACTACTAAAGAAAAACTTAGGAGAAGGAGACTTCAGTGCCCTAAAGGAGTTGCGCAAGACAGTTTTAAAGGTTTCTGCACCATCCTAGTTGGTATGTTCTTTCTAGAAATGTTGTTAAGGACCCTTTTTTTTTTTTGACATATAATTCTCAGAAATTTGCAACATTAGAGATGCCTGTGTTTCTTTGTTGAATTGGCAAAGAAGCATGTTGCTGTTAGTTCGAAGTGGCCTACTGCTGCTGTGTGTGCTGCTGCGAATTTTGGGGCCCCAAAATCAGCATGAAAAAAAGCTCTGTAGCACCCAAAATAGCACCAAAATAAGCTCTGCAGCAACAACAATCAGCAGCAATAGCAACACTTAGCAGCTCTCCAGCAGCTTTGCTACACACAGCAGCAACTAACAGTAACAGCAACTCCATTCTACAGCAGCATCAAGGTTAACTCCCTACTACACATAGAATACACACTGTGTTGGCATTAGGATTCAACACTCCTATCCTAACCCAAAAAAAAAAAAAACACTTAAAAAATAGCCCAAACATCCTTTAATACAAAACCCCTACTATACAATGAGCAGAGAATGCAGTCATAGAGGGAAGTGAGTGGGAATCATAAAACAAGACTTTTGTGTACACATCTCCACACAGTTAGCAGGGTGAAAAAGCCTAAACACATATACAAAGGGCTTTCCACCCTGCACATCCTTCACTCTAATCCTAATAAAACTTAAAATCATTTTAAGAGCCTATAAATCCAAAAAAACACACCAGATTTTATCTATGAATAAAAATTAGGGACCCACAACCATTTGGAGGTCCAAGAAACAAGTATCAAAAAAAGAAAAGAAAAAGAAAACAAGTACAGATATAAATCCCTCCAAGAAACAGACGCTAGACCCTGCCACAATAATGTGACACACAAGCAGTGAGAAATTAGCTACTATTTGCTATAACATGGCTTTCCAAGAACTACTATATATCCCGGAGGCTGCATCAGATACCATTATTCTTGTTAAGATCACAAGCAATTTCGACCGACAAACTCCAAAGAAAGCTTTGTTCACAAGGACAACATTAGCTAATCATATCACACTTCCCACCTTGGGGCAACAGACCACTCATCAGAAGATGATCCATGAAATTATCCCTAAACCTTGAACATTTTCTTTGAACCATCTAATTTAGGTACCAAACCACAACAAGAACTAAATATTGAAGAAGAAAGAAAGGTAAAATGAGATAAAAAGAAAGGTAAAATGAGATAGAATATCAATTTTGAATTTTGAATTTTGAAACGCTGCATAAATGAGATAGAAAGAAAGGTAAAATTATCACTTTTGAGTAATAATTTTTAGCTGTGAAAGCTTGATTGTAGATTCTGCAGATTGGCTACTTCACACAAAAATTTGCTAACAAACTCACTTTTTAATTCATGGTCTATGGGTGCCTTGATATTAAATAAAAATTCCCTTTTGTTTCTCTGTGTCAGGCTAATCAAGCTGGAACTGTAGTTGAGGTACTTTCAGAGGATAGGAAACCAGTTAGTGTGGACACAGTCTCTCTCTCTCAAATAAATTTCTTTCCTTGTTTCCATTTCTTTAATTATTCAATGCAGAGTCGATTGTTGTCTAAAACATTCCATTCATTTTTTGCAGCCTCTATTTACCATTGAGCCATGAAGAATTAAGCCTCTATTTACCATTAACAAATTGCAAATAATAACAAAACATTGCTACTGGTGCACTGACATTGGTGTTACAGAAGGATATCGTCAATTTGAAATAAATGTTGTTGTGTCCATATATTATTGGGTAATTTTCTTTGTGCTATTTATTTCATGTGTTTGAAAAATAATTACTTGCTAAGCTCACATACTTGCGGTTTGTTCAATTTTAGGTACCATTGGGTATTAGTAGTCATTGATCTATCGTTGATGATAGTGTACTATCTTGATTCATTTTGTCATGGTCAAATCGACTCAATTTGAAAATTGTAATAAACACGTAAGTTTATTGCTTTTGTACATTTCTTTGCAATAGAGCTATTCTAATGACAATGTACTAATCTTTGTTCTCTTTATAAAGTAGTCTTTGGATTTATGGAACAACTAAAGGGATGAATAGAAAGCCAACTTGGAAAGTTGTTGAGGTAATGATGATGATTCGTCTTGAGTACAATTGTTATATGTAGTTTTCTTTTCTAATAAAAATCACATTAATTATTTGTATGTAGTGCCCATAACAATCGACACGCATGGAATGTGGATTTTGTGTAATGAGGTACGTGAAAGACCTTATTCGAGATCAAGGCATCCTAACCAAAACAAATGTAAGATCAATTCTAATACTTGTTTACTAATTATTTATGAATGACCTTTCATTTAGTTGTTGGTTCTTAATGACCTCTTGTAGTTCAATGGGAAGACGACTTACATGGAACCGTACCATTGCATGTGGAGTGGATTAACTTCGCCCTAGAAAACATGTGATTATCTTCTATCTATAAGTATAAAAAGGAAGGGAAAAGTGAAACGATTTAGCTTCTATTTAACTTGATTAATGTCTTCGTGTTTCATTGTTATTAATGGTTTCTATTTAGCTTTTATGTTGTGGATTAATTGATCTGATTAAATTTTTGAGCATGTTAATACTTTCATGTAATTGATGGCTTTCATCTCAAATAAAAGTTATAATTGCTCAATTTTGACATTCTTTTTCTTTTTCTTTTTCTTTTTCTTTGGTATAGATGGATGAACTTGTGCACGAAACTAAATTGTACAGGACTAATTAGCACTATAAGCATTTTTTGAAGGATTATATATTTTTTGGATAAATGTGTATGGAAAATATTTCGATAGACTAGTAGTTATATTTTTGGATGGGTGTATATGGAAAATATTTGGGTACACTACTAGTTATATTTTTTGATAAATGCTCATGGATAAAAATTTAAAACATAATAACAAGTACTTGTCATGTTTTAAATTTTTATGCTAGTCAAGATGTGCATCAGAATTTTAATTGAAGGAATATGTACTTTAGAATTACTTGTGGATGGAAACTTATAATAATTGCTGACTTTTATTAAATAGGTTCGGGATTTGATGATTTATGTATTTGCCGAATGTTCATGATTTAGATACTTTATTGGTATGAATGATTCCTTTTAATTACAAATTATATTAAATGGATTGGATGGAATATTTGTCTTCAATTACAGGTTTATTCTGTTGGATGGTGGTGACCAAATTGTAGTTTTGCAAACCAAAATGTTGGTAGGCAAAAGGAGACATTTGGCGACTAAATAATTAGTCGGTAAAATTGTTAATTTTGGCAACCAAAGAGTTTGGTCATGAATAGGTCTATTGCCGACTAAACTTTTAGTCACGCAAAATTACTTTTGGCGACTAACATGTTTAGTCGTGGAATGTGACTTTTGGCAACTAATCTATTGGTCATGGATTGTGACTTTTAGCAACTAACATGTTTGGTCGTGGAATGTGACAATTGGTGACCAACATGCTTGGTCAGGAATATGTCACTTTTCGTGACTAAAGTGTTTTAGCAACTAAATGGATTAGTCGCAGTAATGATATATTTAGCGACCAAAAATTTAGTCGGCAAATCCAACTTTTTCCCGACAAAAAAAAGTTTTGGTCGCGAATAACTTTTGCAGACTAAAAATAGACTTTTGCCGACCAAATTTTTAGTCGGCAAAGGTGCGATTTCCTGTAGTGTATTTTGTGAATAGAATAGGCTTGAAATTATGTTCCTTCCACTTTTCTCATATGGTTCTGTAAAAGTGTTCTGTGAATGGGTTTTGTTTATACATTTAAGATTTGATCATTCAAGTGTTAAGATTCAAAAGCTTGAACATCATGACAGGAGATATTTTTCTTTCTGAATTAAAATTATCTTAACTCTCACATTTCTTGCTTTGAAGAAGCGTTAACAGGCTTAGCCAAGGGGGTTGAGATTAAATTCATTTGAATTATTGGAAATAAAATTCAATTTCCAATGACATTGCTGCAAGGCAGACATCAGCAAGATACCAATAAGGGTTTTCGACTTTCTTCTCAAACAGAATTCTTACTTGCAGAAACACTTCTGGGCATGCACTCTGACGGCTGCTCTGATGCTGCACCTGTGATCTTCAATAGTTCCAGATTTCTCTACAAGAAATTATCTTGGTACGTTATTATATTGGCACCTTTATCGTTATATTAGCCGGGTGTTTATAGTTGGTGCATTTTGTGTTTTGTAATTTATTTTTCGTGAATTGGTAACGATTGATCATCGTGTAGCTTTTTGACTCCCAATCCAACAAAAAAAAGAAAAAACATGTTAATGTAGCTTTTGCTGCTTGCTGAGCGTTGTAGCTTGCTGTAGTCTTCTTGTTGATGATCAAAACTTGTCTCTGTACTTTTTTGGTGAGTTGTGAGATTAGGACTGGACATTTTCTATGGCAACTTTTTTCAGAGATACAAGTTCCCATTTGGAGATTTTTTATGAATAGTGTATTTTCTAACAAAGAAATCTAAATGCTTTCACTAGAATTGGTCCTCACATGATTAGTACCACTACATTTACTGAATTTGTTCAGTCCAAATGAGATTTTGACTGGTAAGAGTTTTCGAAAACCGGTCAGTGTCTCATTTGGGCTGAACAAATTTTGTGTGGATGAATTATTAATCGTATTTGCATATGTAGTGGTATCTCCACTTCCTGCTTTTAATTGGTTGCATTTTGACTGAGGTAATTTTGCTCCTTCAATGTCTTCTGTATTTTGATGGGAAGATGGATGAGACATGGGAGATCCTTTCCAGCATTAATTAGGATGTCTAAATTTTAGAATCATTAATCAAGTTGTAATTGTTTACATTGAATTTTACAATTAATTTCCGATCATTGAACATATTGGGGGTCAACCGGCAATTGAAGAAGCCAATGGCAGAATCTGAGCAAACCACCCAGTAGACTGAATTAGAATTTCTGTATTTATTAATTGAGAGAGCAAGTGGTTGTGGAGTTCGTAAGTGTTATTTTCATTAAATTATTTGCTTTTGAACTCAATCAAGCAGAATCAAATGCCCACTTGCTGCCACTATATTAATCTTTCAAAAGGAAAATTGAATTTTTAAGGCAACTTTTAAAAGCCAAAACAGGTATTTATTGGCTACTGTAATAGTCTAGTAATGCTATATCCTATTAATTTTAGACCTTCAAAACCAACATCCAATGACATGGCAAGTACTCATTGAATAATTTTATGTTTCAGTGGAGTTTTCAAATGATGAAACTTATGACATATCACTATTTTATTTCAAGCTGAACATGTCTGACGATTTGAACTCTCCATATTATTATCTAATATAAATTGGTACAACACTGGTCATGTTAGTTTACTTGTTTTCATTTTCTAAATCTAAGCTGAATATGACAGTTAAGTTGATTTCAACATGAGCATCAAAGCACTTCTTAATAAGCCATCATGCTCTCTTTTGTCTATTTTTTATACCATCTTAATGAAGCAAAACAGCAGTACCTGGTAGTGAGCTTCGACATCTCTCTCTTATACAGTAGTTTTTTTGGGTGAATTGAGAGGAACTTTTGTTATAGTCATGATCAGAACAAGCTTTGGTCGGTGTTTGATGCGACCTATTTAGCACTTTCTCCACAAAATTTTCTATTTTGAGATGATGAAAGAAAGAAAAGAGAGCATGGGGAAGGACTACACCCCACCCACCCCTCTTATC